TTTTTTTCTTTTCCTTACTTCTCCACTTCTCTTAAGCATACTCTCCCTCTCTCACCCTCTCCTTGGGCTGTTGAAAACGTGAGAGTGAATTGAGACAAGCTCTCAATTTATAGGATATAAGGGGTCCTAGCTTAATGACTAAGGAAAGATAAATATCTAGATATTTCTTTCTTTTTTTTGTTGTTATCCAACCAAATTTTCCACCAAAATATTATTTATAAAACCTATGTACATATTCAAATAAATAATAATATTCTATTCAAATAAACAATAAATGAAAGAACAACAAAAAACAAAAAATAGAAATAAAATTAAAATGTGTGAATTAATTTAGAAATTATGAGATAAAATAAATAAAACCAAGTTTTAGGGTATTCCCAAATATGGTAATACACGGAAAAATTATTCTTTATTTGGGCCCTTATGTAGACTTTTACGGAATGAGGGCTAAAATGCTATTAACCTAAGGCTTAGGGTTTCAAGTGTAATTACAAAAAAAATTAGAGTCTCTACAACCTATCTTCTTAAATAAATTTCATTCTCGAAATTAAATCATACCTTACGTCTCAAATAGTTGTGGATAATTTGCCCGCATCGCGTCTTCACGTTCCCAGGTGAACTCTTCAATACCATGGTGACGCCAGAGTATCTTAAGAAGGTGAATTGTCTTCCCTCGCAAGTTCTTTTCTTGTCTGTCCATAATTGCTACTGGTCCCTCCTCAAAGGTAGCGTCTTCATTGAGTTGGATTTCTTCCCAGTTGATGATGTGAGAATGGTGCGTTATGTACTTCCGCAGCATAGATACATGGAAAACATCATGTACTCCAACCAATTATGGGAGTAGAACCAATTTGTACGCAACCTCTCCAATCTTTTGAAGTATCTCGAAGGGTCCAATATATAGAGGTGATAATTTTCCTTTCTTTCCAAAACGAATGATCCCCGGCGGGGCTAAATTTTCAAGAAAACATAATCACCGACAGCGAAGGTTAGCGGTCTTCTCCTTTTATCTGCATAACTCTTCTGACGATCTTGAGCTGCCACTAATCTTTGTCGAATAAGTTTCACCTTTTCTGTAGTTTCTTGCACGATCTCTAGGCCCAATAGACTCACTTTTCCAACTTCAATCCAATAAACTGGTGATCTGCAAGGTCGACCGTACAGTGCTTCGAATGGAGCCATGCCAATGCTAGCTTGGAAACTGTTGTTGTATGTAAACTCCACTAGCGGTAAGTGTCGCTCCCAACTCCCTTTAAAATCCAACACACAAGCTCTCTGCATGTCCTCCAAAGTCTGAATGGTGTGTTCCGACTGTTTGTCAGTTTGAGGATAGAAAGCGATACTAAAGCATAATTCAATCCCCAATGCTTCTTGTAGGCTTCCCCAGAATCGGGAGGTGAAACGCGAGTCTCGGTCTGACACAATTGATACAGGAATTCCGTGTAGTTAAACAATTTCTTTAATATAGAGATGACTCAGCGATGTCAAAGTGTTGGAGATTTTATATGGAAATAAGTGCGCAGTTTTCATCAAACGATCAACTATAACCCATATAGCATCATGTCCTCTAGGTGACCTGGGTAGTCCAATGACGATGTCCATTGTTACATGCTCCCATTTCCATTCTGAGATTGGCAAGGATTGAAGCATCCCTCCAGGTCGCTGGTGTTCTGCCTTTACTTGCTAACACGTAAGGCATCTGGCTGCAAATTGAGCCACATCTTTCTTTATTCCACTCCACCAATATTGGCGTTTTAAGTCTTGGTACATTTTCGTCCCTCCTGGGTGCACTGCGAACACCGAATGACGGAACTCCTTCAGAACTTTTTCTCTAAGCGACTCATCTTGTGGTACAAACACTCTGTCTTGATGTCTCAAACTTCCATCTGAATAAATCATCCAATCAGGTATAGGATCGCTGGATGCTATTCGCACTTTTATGAACGCCACCTCCTAATCATACTTTTGTGACTCTATTACCTCGTTCAGTAATTTGGGTGTAGCGATTTGAGCGCCAACGTATACCTTCTCGTCCTGAGCTTTCATCTGTACTCCTAACTCATTAAGTGTTCTGACCATTTTCCATTCCTTGAGTGCCAAGCTAGCAATAATTCCCCGATTCTTGCGACTCAGGGCATCTACCACCACGTTAGCTTTGCCAGGATGGTACGATAGAGTAAAATGGTAATCTTCAAGATATTCTAGCCACCGTCTTTGTCTCATGTTCAAGTCCATCTGCGTGAACAAATACTTTAAGCTCTTTTGGTCCGTGAAAATCTCAAATTGTTCACCATACAAATAATGACACCATTGCTTTAACGCAAAACCATTGCTGCCAACTCTAGATCGTGTGTCGGATAATTCCTTTCATGCGGTTTTAGTTGCCTGGAGCCGTAAGCCACCACCTTTCCTTTTTGCATTAACACACAGCCTAGTCCATCCTTAGACGTGTCGCAATATACCATATATCATATGTCTCGCTCCGGAATGATGAGTATTGGGGCACTAGTCAATCTCCTCTTGAGTTCTTGAAAGGATTGTTCACATGCTTCGTTCCAATCGTATTTTACCCCTTTTTGCGTTAGACGAGTCATTGGCTTGGCCAGTTTGGAAAAGTCTTGAATAAACCGTCGGTAATAGCCGGCCAACCCTAAGAAACTGCGAACTTTGAATATTGAGGTTGGCTACTTCCAATTTAATACTGCTTCTACCTTGGCCGGGTCTACTGCAATCCCGTGCTTAGACACAACGTGTCCCAAAAATTTGACTTCCTTCAACTAGAACTCACATTTACTTACCTTCGCGTACAACTGGTTGTCTTTTAAAACCTGGAGAACCACTCTCAAGTGTTGCTCGTGTTCTTCTTCAGACGATGAATAGACTAGAATGTCATCAATAAACACCACCATGAATTGGTCCAAGTACGGAGTAAAAATCTTATTCATCAAGCTCATGAACACGGTTGGTGCATTGGTTAATCCAAAGGACATTACCACAAATTCGTAATGGCTATATCGGGTGTGGAAAGCAGTTTTTGGTATATCATCATCCGCGACCCGCAATTGGTGATAGCCAGATCTACGATCAATCTTTGAATATCACATTGAACCTCGAAGCTGGTCAAATAGGTCATCAATCCGTGGAAGTGGATATCGATTCTTAATCGTCACTCAATTGAGTTGTCGATAATCTATGCACAATCTTAGTGTTCCGTCTTTTTTCTTTGCAAATAGAACTGGTGCTTCCCACGGTGAGATACTTAGTCGGATAAATCCTTTTTCCAGTAATTCTTGCAGTTGCGTCTTCAATTCCCAAAGTTCGGCAGGAACCATATGGTAGGGCGTTAGGGATATTGGTGCAGTACCCGCTTGTAACTCGATACTAAAATCTACATCACGATACGGCGGTAATCTTGGCAATTCTTCAGGAAAAACATCAGCGTATTCACGAACTACACGCGAAAGATTTAATTCTAATCGAGCTTCTTCATTAATGATCAAACTTGCTAACCATCCAGCAAATTGTCGATGCCACTGCATTTTACGATTTATAGTGCTCAGGGAATCCTTTTTATCCCCCTTAAATTGGAAACACGTTCCACTAGGTGTGCAAACCGTCACCCTCTTGTGGTAGCAATCAATCATTGCTCGATGGGCGGATAACCAATCCATACCCAAGATTATGTCAAAATCGGACATGTTCATGACCCGAAGGTCGCAACTCAAGTGTAACCCTGACACTTCTAATTCACACCCTCGACAAACTACACGCGAAAGATTTAATTCTAATCGAGCTTCTTCATTAATGATCAAACTTGCTAACCATCCAGCAAATTGTCGATGCCACTGCATTTTACGATTTATAGTGCTCAGGGAATCCTTTTTATCCCCCTTAAATTGGAAACACGTTCCACTAGGTGTGCAAACCGTCACCCTCTTGTGGTAGCAATCAATCATTGCTCAATGGGCGGATAACCAATCCATACCCAAGATTATGTCAAAATCGGACATGTTCATGACCCGAAGGTCACAACTCAAAGTGTAACCCTGACACTTCTAATTCACACCCTCGACAGATTAATCTTACCCTAATGCTTTCTCCCAAGGGTGATGCAACACATAAAGTAGTTTCTAAAGGTTCACATTCAAGACCTAATGATTTAACACACGATGTTGATATAAAAGAATGTGATGCGCCAGAATCGAATAGAACGTGAACCCAAGAATTATAGAGTACAATGTTACCTCTAATTACTGATGGATCTTCATCATCTTCCTCTTGGAAAGCAAAAACTCTGCCTGTGGCTTTTTGATTACCGGTTGGTCCAACCTTTCGGTTTCCTCCTGTTGCCCCTCCTGACTTGTTCATCCATGGCCTTTGTCCGCCAATAACTTGAGCATTCGCACCCGAACCCCCTGCTTGATTTCCTATCCCAGTGAGTTGGGGACATTCCGACTTCTTGTGTCCTATCTGATGACAGTGAAAGCATTGGATTTGTATAACAGGCTTGGTTTGTAAACTTCCTTTTTGGCTTTGCTATTGCGGCTATTGTGACGGTCTGGTGTATGGTGTCTGTACCACATTCCTTCGGTCATTTCTTCTTGGTCCTACAAAGGACTGACCCCTTTTCTTCGTTTTCATCATCCAAGTCCTTTTTGAGTCTGCCCACTCCCTTTCTGCATCCAATGTCGTACCTACTACATCAACAAATGTAGGAAGGCACAAGGCTAACACTCTACCTCTGATGATAGGGTCTAAACCCCACTCGAATTTTTGTGTTTTCTCTCCTTCATTTGCGACGTATTGGGCAGCATATCGAGCCAGCTCTTCAAACTTGGCCACATATTGAGTCACTGTCATCTCACCCTGTTTCAAAGTTTGAAATTACCAAATTCGCTCCTGTCTAACTGTATTTGGGAAATATTTTCTTAGAAACAATTCTTTGAACTGAGCCGAAGTCATACTTGTCGTGTCCCGAGAATTTTTCATCAAGGACCACCAATGATCCGCTTCTCCTTCTAGCTGGTAACTTGCCAGGGCGATCTTGTCTGTATGCACAGTAATACCCATGGTTTCCAACATCTTTTCTATTTGACGAATCCAGCTCTCAGTGACTCTCGGGCAAGTTCACCTGTGAACACCAGCGGTCTTTGCCTTTTGAACTCAGATAAAAAATATATCTGCTCGTTTGGTTACATTCTTCTAAGCCTTCTTAACTCTTCAAGAATCTGGTTTCCGACTGGTCTTGGTAACTCCTCAACAGGTATAGTTCCACTACGATTAACGCCTTGATTGCGAGCTAAACGTCTGCGTCCGCGTCTTACTTGATCATTTGCTTTGACATTGTTTGCCATCTGCCAAGTTTGTGGGTAATATAAGCTTAAGGTTGTTGTGAAAGCGAAGAGGTGTTCAATAAATAGACTAATTCAATGTGGTCTGAGGTGTAATTTTTCTAAATGGACAATGCAATTAACGCAAGCAAAATAACATACAATACACTAAGATAGCCAACTAGATATTCATATATATATGTAACAACTTCTTACAAAAAGGTTACACTATTTAGGTTATCGTGTAGCGTGTATACACCAAAACAAAACACGCTTCAACCACACAAAACAATATTTACAAAAGTACACAAAAAGGTTTGTCCCACAACTAATACAGGCCTAAGTCAAATGATTCCTCTAGGTCTTCTTCGGGATCCTCGTCCGGGTCCTCAGGTGGTAAAGAAACATATGCCGGGGAGGCTGGAAACTGCTGAGCTGGTATAGGGGAGTACTCTGATGACACTTCTATAAGGAATGCAAGGGAAGTTCCGGGAAGTACTGAGACAAAAGGAACCTTTAACTCAGGATGATGAGAGCCACGACTCTCGGGTCCAACGCGACACATCACCGGATGCGGATTGTAGACACCCCATTTTTGACCGACCTTAAGACTCAGACGTCACCGATTGAGCGCTTGGTGATGTTGCATATCATGCTCGTTCAGAGGTTTCAAAGTCTCGGCTGCGAGCCTTGCCTCCGGACTTCCGGACTCTTTTGTGCTTTGCCTCGGTTTGCGAACCAGGCTCTGTTTTCTCTGTTTACTCTTCCCGAAGGAAGGGAGAGGTCTCGTAGATCATCTCTCAGTGGCCATAGGCTACGTTTCGTGGTCATAGGCCATTTTGCCCATTTGGAGTCCGGTTTCTGGTTTTTCAGAGCCGTTGGTCGTGTGCCTCGGTTCGGGACTGCTTAACCACCTCCGTTTGCTCCAATTTTTGGCATGCACCTTTTTTACTCCCTTTAGAGGGACACCGTGGTCCGAGAGACCAACTTTGTGGTCGAACACCACTCCCGGTGCCTAACAGTCAATTTTCGGGGCCTCGAGCTGCGCGTTTCGGCCCCCGAACCTTCATTTTGCATCGGTTTTGGTTCGTTTTTGGCAGGGACCTCTGTTTCATTGGTAAGAAGGTCGTAGAAGGGTGGGAGGCCAACAATTGTTCAGACAACCAGTTTTATTCCTCCATCGACCTCTGTCGCCCCGTTTTTCCTCACTTCAAAGCCAATGTTGACCACCCTTGGGCCATTTTCTTGCACCCTAAACCCCATATTTGTGATGTACACATCTGGGAGGCCACCAATATTTGGTGGCCGGCCAGTAATTGCTTTTGAACCTTTTGAACCCCTTTGAAAATTGGATTGTTCTCTCTCCTGGTTCATTGTCTCCAGTTTTTAACCACATGGTTGTGTTGTGCACACATCAGAGGCTCTCTTTTTGGGGTGGCCGGCCACTAATGCTTCTTGACCCTTTTGACCCCTAGCCGACCGGCCATGGGAGGTAGTCGGCTGGCCACCTAAACCCTAGATAACTGGCCGGCCAGAATCCTTGCATCAAGTACAGTGCAGATACACCCTCCTTTTCCCCCCAAATTCTGTATCTGGGGGGGGCAACTTTTGGAGGGAAACTTGGCTTCATTTCCCTCCATTTTCCTCCCCTTTTTTCCCCCTCTCTTGCCTATATAACCAGCCTCCCAGCTCTGTAATAAGGGTTAGAAAAATCACCTTTGAGCTCCCATATTATATCTCTCTCCCTCTACACTTCCAAGCTTCAAACCTCTCAAGTCCTACACCCATTTCTTCACCAACCCATAGCACCATACCTCCAACCTCCATTACAGCCACTTGAAGCTGTTTTCCAGAGCTAAGGAGCCGCCAAACTCAAGCCAAGAGGCTGTCAAGGCATAGTCTTCAAGGGTGAGCTTCCTTTTTTCTTTTTCTAACCTTTTCTTGATTTATTTATAAGCCATACTTGCTTGCTGTTTTGGACTCCGACCCTAATTGGGAATAGCATTATTTTGAGGTATTTTTCATATTTGTTCAAGGGCCTCTCCCTGTTTGAGGCCTCCTTGTTGCACTTGCTTCATTACCTCCCTTGTATGCCATTTTCTTGTGTAGTATTTTTGGCCTATGTATAAATTGTTTTGAGGCATTTCATAAACTATAAAGTAGCTTATTTTGAGCCCTTCTTCAACATTGTTAAAGGTCTCATCACTGTTTGTGGCTTCCATTTTCCACTTGCCTTTATATCTCTCTTTTGGCTCCATTTTTGCATGATTTGTTAGCCTCTTATGCTTCTGTTTTTGGGTTCTGGTCCGAACTAAAAACAACCTTATTTTGACCCCATCTTCATGTTTAATTAAGGGTCTTTCACTGTTTGAGACATCCTTTTTATACTTTGTGTTATAGCTCTCTTTTTGGCCTTATTTTGCATAGCATTTTGAGCATGCTTGTACACTGTTTTGGGTCTGGCCACCAACTGGAAAATACCATGTTTTGGGTCCCTCTTAAACTTTGTTGAAGGGCCCTCTTTTGTTTAGGGCCATTTTCGCATGCTAGCTTAGCCCCATTTGTATTCATTGTTTGGCCTTGCTTAAAGCTGTAAACATTCTTGTTTTGGGGATGCCTTGAATCTGTCTTCACATTTCATGATCAAATAGTGCATGTTTTGTATAGCTATAGGCCATCGCGCATGCCTAATTTTGTATTTCGGGTCCCATTCCATGCATCGGGTGCCATGTTTTTATGATTCGGGACTGTTTTGGGTCATATTTTAGCGCTGAAATTTACATGTTTGCATACCATGTTTCATGCCTTGCCTTGTCTTGTTAGAGTGGCATTCGTGCCTTAGGTTCGGTCCTCGATTTGCGTGCATGTGTGCACGCATTCCGAGTTGTCTCATTTTCATCTTATGGCCTCCTATGTGAGTGTGGTTGAGGTCCACTTATGTTGGTGTAAGTCCATTATGCATTGTGTATGCCATTTCATTTCATAGCATTGCGTATGCTAGGTTGTATGTTAGCACATTGTGTATGCCATGTTACCTCGTGCATCGTGTATGCCATTTCATAGCATTGTGCATACTAGGTTGTATATTAGTTGCATTCATACATGTCATGCATATTGCATTGTGCTTGGGATAAGAGTTAGCCCAAGCACGGGAAACGAGGTACGTTTCGTACTTCGAGTGACGGAATGTGTCTCAATTCCCAGTCACCGACACTCCGGATTATCCATGATAAAGTTTAGGTTTTGTTGTGTTTATATGTGCATTCATTTCATATTGAGTCGTGCAATTCGACTCCTCGGCCATCATGCATCGATATGCATGATTGGTGGCACGAGGATCGACGCATGCATACATTTGTGAAAATACATTGCCATGCCCTTTTCCTGCTCTCTGTTGCAACAAATCAAGAATCAGTAGCCTTTCAAAGGCCTTGCACAGCATTCCGGCATCAATCGCAAACGGAGGCTAATTGGGGCATCGCAGTGGATTTCTGTGCCAAGCAACCCGGGCATGCATCATCCATCATCCGAAGCAGTGTTGAGGCAATCCCTAGCTTGCATGCTAGTTTATAGCTTACCTAGTTTAATTTGGTAGTTAATTAGGATTTTTTTACATATTTGGACTGTATTATTTATTCGGACTGTATTATTCTTTCG